GTGGTTTTATTTATTCTATGTTTTATGGAGCAGCATTTACTCATCATATCAATTTAAATAAGTAGCCCAACAGACACTCAATAGTCAAACTAGTTCCGTTTGTTGTTTGTGTTTGTCTTCGACAATTTTTGTATGCACGACGTCAATTAAATGCCGGAAATGGCCAATTTCAATGTTGGCCGACTGTCGTTTATGTAGTACAACATTGTTTTCGCTTTGCCTCTATTACGAGGGGCTTTTCATGATTTGCTTTGATGGTCGTCAAATGGTAGGAAAAAGAAAAAAAGCAACGAGCGCAAAGGCGATTAATTACTCAGCTCACAAAAGACACTTAATGCGATTTGACGCTCAGCGTGGGTGGCGACCAAATGCGAATCTGGCAAGGGGTTTAATTGTGGGGCAAGAAATCGCGGATTAATCATTAGAAAGGGCTCACAACGTAATTAGCTGCAATATACAACAAGCCGCGTCGAAAGTGGTCGACATGGAGATAAATGAAATTAAATTTAATATTACATTTTATTTTTAACTTCATTTAATAGATTTTTTACTTTTTGGTTTTAATTGTGTCGACTGACTTTAGTTGCCATTAAATAAACAATCAGAAATATATATACACTTTATGCTATCTCAGAGATCAAACACAGCAATTTTTACAGCGGTTCTAGTGTCCCAGGGTATGTCAAGTAATTTCAGCAACATTTAAATTGCTAGTGGGATTAACAAACACAACGTTTAATGAAGGTTTTTAGTCAGTTCTTATCAATGGGTATAAAACCACTAGGAAGTTGCCGGGACAATATTTATGTTCTGAGTCAAAGTCATTAAGACTGGGTAAATCATTTCTGATAAAGCTGATAACACTGATAACACACAGTGCAACAGCAGCAGTAACAGAAATAAAAACAATGAACGGCTGTTAATTATATCAAAATGCATATTTTGCTTGTATTTGTTACAAATTATGCGAAATGGGCTTGCCACACAGTCGAAAACCAAAATGAGAAAAGAAAGCGACATTGTGATGATATAATAAGATTTAATATAGACTCGATTATGATGATGGTGATGGGAATCAATAATGAGCCACGGCACAGGGTTAGATGACGTCGACCCCGAACAAAACAAACGAACCCTAAGCAGCAACACCAACAACAACAGCAACAGCAGAAGATCCAGCGGAGAAAGAGAGGGAGAGCGGCGCTGGCAGACGCCCAGAGCGCAAACTCCAGAACAGATGAGAGACAATATGTGTGTACGTGAGAGAGACAGAGAGAGAGCTTGCACTGACGTAATCGTTATCGTTAAGTGCCTCTCGCTCACACACCGCCTTTAATTGAATGTACTAGTTGAGTAGGGGCAGGAGGTAAATTTTGTTGTTGCCGCACAATAAATGAAATTATGAAAATGAAATCATTCAAGGAAAACTGCAAACATCAATGAAAAATTCATTTAAAGTGCCAACCAAACAACACTCGACAACAATAATAATACTAACCTCCATTGCGTTTTTTTTCTCTGCTTGTCTGCCTTTATTTTTTTCAAGGTCTCGTTTTTATTTGCTTGCCGCACAATTTCTTGTAAACTTTGCTATTACTGCACTACAATTAACTGGAATTTGAGTTGTTTTTTCTTTTTGGGCGTGACACACACAAAACGAATTGAAATCCGCTGTGGCCTACAAAAATCTGTGTTTGTTGCGTTTTTTTTTTGTTCCTCTTACTGTCAGTCGCTGACAAGCCCGAGTTTTGTTGTTCCGATGTTAACAATTTGCAGCCAGCGCAATTGTTTAATGTTAACACGTTACTAAGAGCGCGAAACGGCAGCGACGACAACGGCGAAGTTTGTGGAAAAAGTAACAAACAAGGCGTAACAAACCAGGTTTAATTTTACTACTGAACATCGATTACACACACAAATATCGTACAAGACTATCGAAGTTTGGTGCTGCCAGATGTTGGCAATACAGACTTGTGGCAGCACTTACATGGTGCTGCCAACTTGTCAGCGTAAACTAAGCGCAGTTCTGAAACCACTGTTATAGTATTGCGCCATAGTTTCAGGAGCACTGGAAATTTGAAATTTGGCTATGCCAACTATTTGGATGACACATTCAAATTAAGTGATGCATATAATATTTCTAGAATACAAAGCAATTAAAAATGCTTTCACTTTTATGAAGAGCTACTTTTATGGCCACTTAGCGCACGGCAATAAATTTGTCTAACTTTATGGTAATAAGACACACATACTCACCCCTGAACATGTCACAAGTCATAAGCATAAATCACAAAGTTTACCAGCGTAATTTTTCACATAAAATTAAAATTGCATTGCTTGTTATTAATTAGGGTAAAATGTTCTACAGCAAGAACAACAAGAAGAAGAAGAACAGCTAACGAAATGCCAAAAGTCAAGAAAAGTCTGGCATCTCCATTGCATACTTGGAGGCGCAGACAAATAGAAGATGTCATAAAAATGCCATTGTAAGTAGTTGAGCCAAACTCGCTTGCTCGTTCACTTTCTCTCGCTCTCGCTCTCTTTCACTCTGCCTGTCTGGCATTGTTGTCATTGTTACCGTTGCTGTTAAGTCTTGTTATGTATTCCCCTTATTATTGTTGTCCTTATTGTTGTTTTTGTAGTTCGCGTTGTTGTTGTTGCTGTTGTTGTTATTATTATTGCAGGCAAATCGACAAAGGCACGCTAAAAGTAACGGTACTCGCAACAGCAAACTCATTTCACTTGTGTCGAAAAGATAAATGTGAAGCGCTTAAAAAAGCAATTACCGCATAAATTGCGCTCGTCGCTGCTGCTGCCACTGCTGTTGCTGCTGCTGTTGCTGCTGCTGCTGCTACCGCTACTGCTGCTGCTGTTGTTGCCACAACTACAAATAGGCGTATTCGGTGCCAGGCGCAGAGGCGCATAAAACTTGCTACAAACAACACTCAAACTCTTGACACAAACAAACAAACAAACAGCAAAAGCGAAACGCTTTTTTAGATGCGAGCACATCCTGCCCATAAGAAATTTCAGCAGAAAAAAAAAACAAATGCGCAAAGTACGCGAAAACATGCAAAAATGCACTGAAAATCCCCTCACAACTCACCCTCTCCACCTCTCGCCCCGCCCTTATATAGTCCTTTCGTGTCGGCCTAATTGTAAAATCAATATAGTGTGATCTGAGAATCGTGTAAATCAAGTTAAAAATTGCAGCAATCAAAGCACCTGAAGCACAGCAATAAAAACCCATTAAAAAGCACGCCAAGCTGGCCGCAAGGATGTGCCAGGATGAGGATGTGTATGCCAATTGGTGAGCCGGGTGCCGGGTGCCAGGTGCCAGGTGCGCATCTCTCGAATTGGATTTGAACAAATTCCAGCAAGGAGACACATCGATTTCTCATTAGGCTCCAGCCGAGCCAACTGATGATATTTTATGTCGCCTGAAATCACTTAAATAAAAATTTAATTGACTCGGCGACGGCTGGCAGCACGTAAAACTCGACAGTCGACAGTCGACAGCAAACGGAGCGCACAACACGAAACGGAAGCGCAGGACGACGAGGACGCAGACGTCTGGACGCAGCTAGGAGCAACAAACGTCAGCTGTCGGCTTCATTCTGCCTGCTCCTTGGCTCCTTGGCACCCTGCTCTTTGGCTGCCTGCTGCCAGCCTACTGCCAATTTGCTGCTGTGTGTGCGGAGCGGAAATTTCTTCAACTTCCTGATTTAAATAATAACAAACTGTGCTGATGTCTGGCCTACTCCCACACTGCCCCCCCTCTAGTTGCCTGCCACTTGGCTTGTGTCGCACCAACTGACGACAGCAACAATAACAACAACTTTCAACTACACAACAGCGTTGAGCGCGTGTCGTGTCTGCTTTGTGGACGCAACAAAACACAAGATTTCTTGTTGCACAGCTCTCAACACAGCATTTAAGGTGGTGGCAAGCTAGTCCAATTATATAAAGCTAATGTTGTTATTGATATTGTATAAATTCAATATATACCTTAACAAATACTTAAACATATTTGTAGAAAATTCAGATATAAATTTCTGATTTATAATTTATAATTCTGCTAAAATAACGTAATCAATAAAGGAATCTGAGGGAATCTGCTAATATTGTAACAGTTGAGAGAAATCTTTAAGTCCAAAGAATACTCGTATATAATATTATAAACCCTTAAATGAATAAGTTGAGAAGGGGTCGCAATGCATGAAGCCACCCATAAACTATATCTTAAAAAATATCTTAACTCAAAAGTAAATCTTGCTTAAATAAATTAAGCAAGTTTTCTGGTCGTGTTTTTCAAGTTGTTGAAGTAAGCGATATGCAACCATCTCTGCCACTTACAAATGCCTCCAAGTCGATTACCGTCATCAGGCGCCTTGTTGCCCCATGCGTCAAGCCATAAGCGACATTTATTTTTCTTCTTATTTTGTTGTTGGTGTTGTGTTAGTTATTGGTTGGCTGGAAGGGAGTGGGAGCTGAGCGGACAGCACCGATTGTGGCTTAGCTGAGCGTCAATATTTTGCGGATGGCTGGCCAATTTTAAATATTTGCATTATGATGTGACAAGCGAAACACGGCCACAGGCTGCTGCTGTTGTTGCTGTTGTTATTGCTTAAGTTGTTGTTGTATTGGGTTTGCTTGTGTATTGTTGTCAGCTTAAGCGTGAAGCGACAGTAGCAACAACAACAACAACTACAACAACAACGTTCCACCCTGCACTCCACGGGCACAACACATTTCCGCATGCAAGCGCCATTTGGCAGACACACCCACGCACACCCACACACATGCGAGCAACAAATTTTGAAAAGCCGACAATCGGCGTCGCAGTCGACGCAGCCGACGCAGCCGACGCAGTGCAACGCCGAATAATCGACGAGGACGAGGACGAGGACGAATGCGCAGCCGAAGCGGCAACAGCGGCAAAAGCGGCAACAGGACTGGACTATAAGACCGGAGTTTAGTCAACGCACGAGCTGAGTCGCGCCACCAACGTCGAATCGGACGGACGCAACATTGAGAATATTACGCATTGTGAATATTACGTATACGCCACAAGTGCCGCAAACTTTTGCCGCCAGTTGAAACAAGCGCAAAGAGTTGTTCTTGTTGTTGGTTTTTATTTTGTTTGTTGGACTTGTCGCGCTCGCCCGCTCGTTAGTGAAATTCCAGGCATTTTTACGGTTCCGGCCAAACGGGCGGATAATTTGGCCCAACAGATAACATTCGAGAAGCTGCCTAAAGCTGGCCATAAAAGTGCGTGCTACCAAAATATATATGTTATATATTTATACATATATATTTAACCCGGCTACAGCAGCAATCTGAAAAACTCGTCAGCCAACTGGCCAACAGTTGCCGGTGGCCATGTGGCATCCACGTACAACGGTGCGTATGAATGGAACTGAGCGCCATGAATGAATGAATGAAAGCGAATTGAGTCAAAGTTGTAATGAGTTCAAGTTGACTTTGGTTGGGCTGAGGTTTGGGGTTTTTGGATTGGATTCCGGCCAGAGATTTATGCCTTATGCCGCGAGTTGTGGCTTTAATTATATATGCATATATGTGTTCGTTAGATATCCCCTCCACCCCTCCATACGTTGTCGGCGCTGTTTGTTTTAGCCGCAGCGGACATTAAGAAAACAAAGCACGCACCGAAACACTTGGAGAAGTCTAAAAAAATATATGAATAGGATAGAGAGAAAACAACTCACAAAAAAGTGGGATACATCAAATTTGTTAGCCAAATGCTGCAGGATATATTAAGTGCTTCATTGACTTTTGTGTGGAGCCAAGTTGAAATTGAACTTTCATTTGCATTTGTGCCACAGCCAAAATTGATGGCCAAAAACTTTTGCTGACAAGTGCCCCAACCTCTTTCATACCTATCTGCAAACCGCTGGGCAATTTATTAAGTTCTGGCCGCTGCAAATTGTTAATAGATTGCCATGCTAAGCACAACTTTTTTGTCTGTGGCAGTTGCCAATCGCTCACATTTGAGGCGTCTCAGCTGCGTGTTATTTCACATTTGACCCTTTTACACACACATGTGTGGGAGTGTGTGTGCGAGTGTATGTGTGTGTCTGGGTATGTATTAGTTTATTATTGCTGTCAAAGCCTGGGCTTTGACGTCTAATTTATGAATGTTTTCAGCTGCCGAGACACGAGTCATGCTGTTCTTATGACACGCTCTATTTCCGCTTGAGCCATTATTTGTTTTTCTCGGGTTTGTTTCTTTTCTATTTTTTTGGCTATTCTTTTTTTCTGGCTTATGGTTACTTATTTAAATACTGTGTTGCGTTCTTAGGCATAATTTGCACGCTTTGTGCCCTCGAGCGCTTTGCCACTGCAACTTTTGGGCTTAGGGCCAAGAAATTCTTCAGCCTTGTAAGAAACGTTGTCGAAAACTTTTTTAATGAGTTTCAAAATGTTGAGTGCGCTTTTGCCTCAATATGGCCAAGTCTTGCACGATTATGTGTTAAAAAGTCAAGCGGCGTTTTTTTTATTTTTATCAAACAAAACGAAAACAAAACCCTTCCGCTTTATCCCGCGGCCATTTTAATTTGACGCGAGCAACTGCAGAGTGCGTGATAAGCGTTTAATTGAAAGCTGTGCAGTGGAGCGCCTGATTGAATTTCTATACAAAAATAGGCAGCCAGCTAGAGATTCGTCTAGTGGTTCAGTGGGTGGTCTGGTGGTCGGTTTGGTGGGTGGTTTGCTCGTTACCACAGCTACACTGCAGTTAGTTGACACCCGGAGTGGTGGGGCCTGGCTCGAGTGTCCTTTGCTTGTTCGTCACTTTAGGGTATACGCTCAAATAAATTTCAATACAGCCGTTGAATGTTTTTTAATATGAATGCAGTGCAGCGCTTTGAGTGCTTGCCGCTTAACCTCGCTATTCCCTCATCGCCCCTACAAAATAATCCATGCATATTAAAGTAAGAGCACTTTACATTTGTATTTATCACTTACTTAACATGTGCAATAATTAAAGTTTAAAAGCGCACGAAAACATTTCGTTATCTGATAAACTTAACATACGCACATAATCAGTTCCAACTAAATTTTTTGACAAAGGCGACAATTGATCAAAATCACGCATGCTAAACATTAATTATAATTTAATAAAATAATAGGAATTCGAGCGCTCATTGAAACTGTCATACAAATTAATTGGAACACGAAAATTATCCAATTTTCATTTTGTATTCATCAATTTAGATACTTAAATTACTTTGCGTGGGCAAACTATTTGTTTTTATTTGTTTTATTTGTAACAGAAAAAATGATTTCATTTAACAATCCCTCTACAGATTATGCTGCTCTATTAAATAATTTAATTATATTATATTATGATACAGATATAAAGACAGCCATCAGTACAGATTTATGTAACGTACATTTTTCCAGATGTCCCTTATTGTACACAGACTTTTGTAGTTTTTCATTTGAAAATTGTTCAATTAATGTATCACGTGAATATGTTGAAAAGTAAATAATTGCGGACGAGTTGAAAGCAGTTTTTTGTTGGCCGTTGTTATAATACAGCAACTTTCATTGCAAAAAATGTTTTAAATTTTTTCTGGTATGTGGAATAAATTCCATTATATTTTTCTCATTCGCACTGATGCATGCTGTGCATGTTTCCTTTGTTACTCTTTGCTTGCGCCCTTTTTTCTTTTTTTTCTTCTTTATTATTTTGAGAGCTGATGAAACTTTTGCTGGCAACATCACAGAACATATTGGGCAACATGCAGCCGCACATATGCGACGAATTTAAATGCGACATAAGTTGCCAACATGAAACGCAATTATGCAGCATGTGTACGTGTGTGTGTGTGTGTGTTGCAGTTGCATGTCGACAATCTTTGCCTTATGCTGACGAATTTTTTTCGCAGCTGTCTTATAGTTGTTCGCCGACCTGCACCATATATGTAAATCCCCAACACAGCAAACTCTGACAGTTAACGCGGCCAGGGAGATGGGGAGTTTTCATCTGTGTTCATGTTTTATTTAGATATCTTCAACGATTTTGTGTGTCACAGCGTGCTCAGACATTTAAAATGCCGTTTTTAGAGTGTGTGTGCAATTGTATGACTCACATAGTAACTAATATTTTCAGTTTGCTTCTTCCAAACTTGTCATGCAGCTGCTGCCCTGGGCTGCACACAGGCTAAATGCACGGCAATGAGGCAATGAGTGAGGACCACGTCGCAGGACCACAACCACAAAGCCAACCAGAAGCCAAGCAGGCAACCAAGAGCAGTCAACATCCAACAACTGGGCAGAAATGCAATCTGATGTGTTCGCATCTTGGCTGAGTGCCACGTAAACTCTCCACGCACACAAACACACACATACACACACATACATACACACATACACACATAGACGAGCACACACAGCTAACACAGAGTCACGTAAGCAGATTGGCAAGAGTCGCAGGATCACTGAGGACACAAGAGCAGGAGCATCGAGGAGGAGTGCAGAGAGAGAGAGAGAGAGAGAGAGAGAGCGAGAGAGAGAGAGAGCAAGAGAGAGAGAGAGAGAGGGAGCTTTAACCACAGCGAGTGCTTAGCGCCCGTCATGTTGCGAGATATATTTCTATATTTAGTTCTAATCGTTTTATTTTGCTTTATTTTCATGGCGCAGTTAATCGTCAACGTTTACGCATTCCAGCGCCAACCAACGCCTGCCCAAAGGGCCGAACGCAATGAAATTATATTTGTCTAGGAGTCCCGTTGTTATGGTATGCGCCTCCACTCCCTGGAGGCATAAGTCAAGTATTTGCTGGCTTGCCATTTAATGAGCGCCTTAAAGTCGAAATCAAAGAAAACTGGTTCGCTGTCAGGGTTCTGTTCAAAATCTCGCTAAGAACTGATAAACTGGGTTGCGCACTAATTAGTTACGGTCGTAGTCTAGGGAATGGTATCATGAATGCACAATGAAACTTTGCGGCACAATAAGTCGCAAACTGAAAGAGCAGCAGCAGTGTTAAGCACGGGAACGTGAACCCGACGCACATGCACACAAAGATGATGCAACAAAGTGTTGCAGCATCGTTGCATTTCAGATAAATTACTTACTGCTCGCCATGCTCGCAAATCTTGTAATTACTTATTTTAGCGTACGCTTTAAAAAAGATGAAGAAATCGTTGCCTACTTTTCTGCGTGCAGAAAAAATGAGCCAACACAAATGCATTCGAGTGTGGCAAATGGATTTAGTTTGTATTGATTTCGAGGGCACACACACACCCCCAATTTTATTTTTCTTGTTTTTTGTGAGTACTTATACTTTTTTTTGGTTGTGTTTTATGCTTTTTGTTTTCGGGCATGCCGCACAGTTTATTGTTTTTGTTTTCTTTTGGCCTCCTGAGCTGATTCAGCTAGCAGTTGCAGATTGCGGGCTGCGGGTTGGAATCGGTCATTGGAGCTGCTTGGACCGCCTTGAGCACTTGAGCGCCATATACACACTTGACCCTATTCCGTTAAGAGACTTTACAATAGGCTTGCCCACTGGGCGAAAGCAAGTGCCTTGGCTGGGCAAATATTTAAATTGACGTGGCCATGGATGCCCAAGTGTTGGGGTCTGAGGCCTTTTACACTATTTCGGAAACTTCAAAGTGTGGCACAATTTTTGTTAGATTTTATAGCCTGGCTATGTTTATTAAGTGCGTGTGTGTATTTGTGTATGCCTCTCACACAAAATGGTTATTCTGGTTTCATTTGCTTCACAAGCTTAAATACATTTTGTGGACTTGGCTTATAGTTTTGTAAAAGTTTTCAATTAAATTTAATTGCATTTTCAAAATGTTGCATTCCTGGCATTCAACTTGGAGCTGAACTTAAGTTAAGTGTGAGCACAAAAAGATTTTCATATAATTTACATAGTTGGAGAGATCTAGAGTTCTGCACTTGGCAAACTACGTATTCATATCGTAAGAACATTTCAAATGCTATTATCGAATAATCAAAAACCGTATTAATCGAGCTACCAAACATGAAGTAAATGTAAACTTCTTATTGAATTGTATTCAATTAATTATAAACACATACATTCGAACAATAATAGTTTTAGCTATCATATACAAAATATATATATACATATATATATAGTACTTATAAATGAAATAAAGTTAATGCTAGGCGGTCTGATCATCTAAATAAGGTTTTATGAAAGGACATGTGACGAAATTTATTGTACTTGTAGTTAGATCTGAACAATGAAAATTAAATTATTCAAACGAAAAGCGAAACAATATCGAAATACACATAAATCAAATAAATGTTGAACAATTCCAAAAAATACAAAAAATATACAAAACTCTGATCTTTTATTACTATTGTTGTGCGGGTTAAAGTATTTTCTAGGTAAACAACAAGTAATTATTCATAAATTTACCAAATCTTATAATGCATTTTCGGTTTTTAATTAAAACTGAAATCAAATATTTTCTCTTTTATTTAGAGTGAAGGCATATTGTTGCCATTGCCAGTAGCAAGGTATTTTTTCAAAAAATCAACTTTGAATTCAATTTGATTTATTGCTTAAAATGTCATAAATGGGGTCAACATATTGTGACTTGCATTCATATAAATGTCAAAATATTATATAAACAAAATATTTTGAGGTGAAACTACTGCAACAAACTATTTTAAAATGTTCAAAAAATAAGAACAATTTTTACTTATTGACTTTGTGCACACTTTTTGAACACTTTTCAGTTGTTATGAAACTAAAAATAAATAAATGCACTGCAGCAGCTTAAGGAAAGCTGAAAAGCTTCGGTGAAAACGGTAAGGAACATAAGTATAAATTTTATATTAATTTCTTTTTATTGCCATGCCATGCCATGCTACTCATTTTTATGTCACTTTAAAAGGCTTTCCGCTTAAGCGTCAATGACCTCGATAAAAGAAAAGACTCGATGCAGTCCTTTATTATTTCTCGATAATTCCATAAATACCAGCAGCTCGGCATATGCGACCTATTAAAGTGTTGAATGCTCACCAAGGTCTTTTTACCACAAGAATAAATTGTGCACCATCAGCAGCAGCAGTAGAGTAAATTTTCCATTTAGCAGCTGTGGGACAAGCCATCTTAAATTTGGCACAACAAGCGCGATTCTCACGGTCCGACGCCTTTGTGTCAGACTCAGAGCTGTTGTAGGCACCCTGGTCTGCGCTAACAGTCACCCGCTGTGGTAACTTTTTTGGCGTTGTTCCAAATGCAGAAAAAAAACAACTGTGCAACAAGCCAACTGTCCTCAGCAGAAATCTGTATTCGCAACCCCCTCGCTCTCGCTCGACGGTTGCAACTTTGCGGTTTGCTTTGTTCTTTTATTTTTTTATTGTACACGAAGCTGTCGGAGCCTTAAATGTTCAGCGACATGGCCAACAATCATAACAATGCGAACAACAAAAAATAGCAGGTAATGGCGCCAAATGGACTCTGTTGCTTTATTGTTCTTGCGCATTTTGTTTTTATTGCATTTAAATGAACTGGCAAGGCACGGCCGGAAAAGATCGCATCGATTCCGCATCTCAGTCAAATTTGGTCAAGCTGTGAATTCCGGCAAATATGTACATTGTTGTTGTGTATGTGGGTGGGTGGTGTTTGGCTGTGAGTGTGCGGTTCAAATTTAATTGAAAATCGCTTAAATTGCCTGACAGGCAATTTCTCACTGTCGCAGCAGCTGTTAAAGAGTAAAAACCAGAAACTAATTATCAATACACACACACATACATTTACACACATATACTCATTCATAGTTGTATCTAATATTTATTTGTGCTTTTTGATTTTGTGACATTTTTCACTTTGATCTGTGACAGGGCAAGTTCTCTGCCAAAGTCACGTCCTCGTTATTTTGCGCACAATTGAAACCAAAAATCATAACTAATTAGACATACATTTATTTAGTTATATATATACATTTATTTTTATATATATATATATTCATATATAGGTGGATAGAGAAAGAGCAAGTGCTGTGCAACAAGAAACGACTAATGGGCATCACACAGCTGATGAAAATGTGACAAAACAATTTGGCAGCTTGGACAGTCTCGTACTGCCGCTTTAGATTCAGAATCTTTTGATTTAATGCACGATCCTAATGCTGACAACAACTAGAAGAAGAACCGTAGCGAACAATAGTGTTGTTGGCTTTTGAAGATGCAACAAATATTTGAAGCAACCAATAAACCGTCAGCCCGCTAGACACATATACGAAAGTCATGCTAACCAATTTGTTGTTTATTTTCTATTGCAGGAGCACATTGGATTTCGTGCTCTGTGGCGCGATGTCTTAAGAGAAAGCGATACGTTCCAGAGCGCGGCCAGCTAGTCAGATGGTCACGAATATTGTTACACAAACGCATACAGCCACAACTACCCATACAAATGTCGGGCCGGGCCACACGGCGTATGCGCAATTTGCTTTGGCTCGTTGCCAACGCGCTATACTTGGAGATCAACGGAAAAAATTGCTGATTTTTTGCCAGAAATTATTTATAACTACTTGTTCATACACAACACAGCACACACACCAGCGCACACACACACATATACATACACACAGAGACACACACGTGTATTTGTGGTTGTGAGTTTTATTTTCGATCTATTTGCTCTTTCTGATGGCTGTTAACTTGACAAGTAAGAACAAAAATACTCCCTGCGCGAATATTTACAACAAAGAGCAAATCTTGTTGGAGCACATATAGAAAATCTACAGCATACAGCATATTGATTATGAAATTCGAAGGAAAAATACAACAATTACTTACTAGTGAATGAGTTGAGGGCGGTATTTGGTCAATGAGTCAAAGCAGAGTGTGTGTATCTATCAATGAGCGTTGCTTACCTGTAAAAGAGAAAAAAAAACAAAAAGATAGAGAGCGATGTTAAAATATTATTTGATATTTTGACATATATATATATATATATATATATATATATATATATATATATATACAAATTGTGTTCATATATAGCGTATGCAAAAATGTATCTAAATAAATATATAATAGAAACTAGCAGTATATGTAAATGATTTGATTTATTGATAAATATTGTCAATGGAGCCATCGAATTTTGAAGATGAACATTCCCCTTACTTAACACTTTGTTAAAGTCATATTGAGATCCGATCTGAGTGGAATTTTGGCTTATATTAAATTAGTTCATGACAGTGAGTATTTAATTTGGTTGAACTAATCCGATCAAGACTGTACGAAATTATTTATTATTGTTATTTTTATTTGCTTAAAGCTTTTAATATTTTGCGTTTCTACACTGAGAAAAAACAGCTTTATAAATTTAGAATAGCTTTTGAATTTAAATTGAGAATACAATAATGAATAGGATGAAATTTCCAATATTCTATATGTGTTGAGTATTATAATTCAAGACTTTAATTTCCAAAAATTCTTAAATTCAGTATGTTAATTTTTTTCTTCAGTGTGGTAAAAGCACTTGTAAAAAGTTCATAATATTTTTACTCAGAAATGCCTTGAAAACATTTTATATTAAAAATAGTTTTACAGCAAAAAAAAGAATCGTTCTTAAACAAAAAATTCGTTGAAAATAAAAATAGAAAAATAGATGCAAATTGTTCCACAGCCGGGAAAAGTTGTTAAGAATTAAAAACAATTCTTAAAGGTTTTGTAGTATATGCGAAATGTTAAAGTAATTATGCGGATTTGTGTTGCCAAATCTTTGAGAAAAATCTTGAATATGGCCTAATTAACTGATTGTTTGCATCAATGCCGCAATTCGCCTCAGCTGGCACCCAATTCGGCTGCAAAGGCCAAAAAGCTTAAAATCAATTAGCCTCTTGCTGAACCCCAAACTCCTCAGCCTGTCCCCTTATTCCCCCCTATTCCCACTGAGCGGCCTTTTGTAACTTAATTGTGCAAAATGAGTGGAGATGTTCTGCCCAACTCTTGAACCACTTGAGGGCAGCGAGCATTTTATGCGAGTCAGCCAAATAAAACAAATGTTGAGGTTTTAACTTTTTCGCTGGCCTTGGCATGTGGCATGTGAAAAATACAATGCCTAATTAATGTACCTATACATGAGTGTGTGTGCGTGTGCTTGTGTGTGTGTGTGAGTGTGATTGTGGATAGAGCGAGGTGGTGTGTTGCTCCTGGAAACAAAATAAAAGGAGCAGACGAGTCAGTTTTAATTAAAAGATAAAATTGCTTGGCCACAGTAGCAGATTCAAATAGAGACAGGAAAAGACAGAGAGAAAGAGAGAGAGACAGAGAGAGAGAAAG